TATTCTTGGAGTGTCATTATAAATGAATTTTTAAGAATTGCATTTCAGAATTTTATAAGGGCAAAGCTGATTTTTGATTATTAATTGATTTTTATTGAGTTTTGTTTACTAATATTTTCACCCCTGACCTTGGGAACACATCTTCTTCTTGGGTACTTCCAGGCTTTGAAAATCATGAGTGCTGGTGCTCTGAACTTTGCAGGGCAGGATTTTGTGTGGACCTACGTTGTGAACTCATTTGGGTTACCTCAACTTTGCGAAATGGCTTGAGGTCCAGGAGCCACCGCTCTGACACATGAGATAGGGTTGATCACTTCAGCCTGTGACAGTTGAGTGGCTGTGGGCCTGTGAGGAGGTTTGTGTGAGGCCTCTGTGTGTTAGAGCCCTGGGACTTCTCGGGTATGGATCTCCCCGCATGTTGCAGGCTTTCTGGTAGGTTCAGCAATGAAGAAACCCTGTCAGATGTCCTTGTCCACTTGTAATAGAGACTGTAGGGAGCAGGAAGCCAGAAATACAAGGCAAATGTGTTACCTGTTCCTACCTCTATCTTTGTGGTGGACTTCTTGATTTTGCCTCAGTGTCTGGTGCTGTGAGAGTCGGCCCTGAGGTCTGGAATGGTGTGATTTTGTTCCTGGCTTCCCTAGTAGCCCCCCTCTTGGTGTGTTTTCTAGAAATGGTGAGAGCATGGAGACCTGGTTTTGTTCTTCAGTATAGCCTCAGGTTTTGTAGATCCCCATGGCTTTTTAGGGTGTATTATTCATTTCCAGGTATGTGCGTGTTAATGTCACAAAATTGGGTTTGCTTTTTGTCAGCTGCTGCTGCTTCATTCTTTCTAGGTATCAACACTTCTCCAGATGCATGATACGCAGATGTACAATTCTTGTTCTTTTTTTTCTTTTGAGGTGTTGGGATTCATTGATCCTGGAAGTTCTATTGTATGAGTGGGACAAAATAACATGATTTCTGAAATAAACATTATCATTCAGCACATCCTGTGCTGCTTACCTATACTGTCAAGCACTGTGATTCAGTGTAAATGCTTAGTTTGGTGAGATCCTATCCAAATCTTTACCACCTTCTACCAGCTAAACTACAACTTTGTCAACAGATATTTCTCAGGATAGGTGTTGACAAAAAGACTAATATTAGCTCTCCTCTGCACATGAGGTCGTAGGGCTTCTTCATTCCATGTATTAGTTATTCACCCTGAGAAGATCTTAGGGGTGACCTGAGAGCATACCTTACTTTCTTGATTAAAATTGAGAAGGGTATTTTTTTTTTCTCTGCTGATGCTTTCCTGATAGTTCATTCTTATATTGGAATGCCCATTTGGGGAAGTGAGTGCAGACAGAGTACAAGTTTAACAACCAAATCAGACACTGAATATTTGGAGATCACAGAATCATGTAGAATCATCTATTCTCACATATAGAGAATAGAACTCTCATGCTGTCAATCTCTCCTGGTATACCCTGTACTTTTGTGGGATATTTTAGACCTCAGTGGCCTTTGAGGATGTGGCTGTGAACTTCACCCAGGAAGAGTGGGCTTTGCTGGAACCTTCCCAGAAGAATCTCTACATAGATGTGATGCGGGAAGTCCTTAGAAACCTGGCTTCTATAGGTAAGGATGACGTTTCATTACATAATCAAAGACAAAGCACCTGGGAGTTTTTTTTTTTTTTTTTCCCCCTCATGAATTTGGAGTGTGAGAAAGGGAGTACTTTAGGGAATAATATGGGCCTAATGTCATTGCACTCTGCAACATAAATACCATAATCCTGTCTCCTCCCTGCCTTTACCATCTTTTTAATGGGCACAGTATAGTTGTCCAAATTGTAAATCCCATAATGCATTCTGAAATCATGATGATGCATAATGACTTTTCTGGGACTACATTTCAGGAGACACATGGGAGGACCAGAACATGGAATATCAGAACACAAATACCAAGAGAGACATAAGGTAATTTGTACTCATATGAGGAAACCGAGTGCCTTGAGGGAATTCTAGCACATCCTATAGTTCCACAAATAAGCAACAGAAACAAGCATGAGATGAATTATACTTATTCTTTTTTCACCAAATATGGACTTTAACGTAAGATAGTTGTTTACTGTTTTCAAAAACTATTGAATTTTTGACAGTGTTAACAAGCTTCATTTATGATGGCACTGCTTTAGTAGCAGCTGTGGAGAAGCAGTTTACAAAGTAATTGTTACATTGATTTTCAAAGAGCATACAGTATAGATATGACAAAAAAACAGTACTTTCCATGATATCGGTAATAGTATAAGTCCAAAGCCTATTAATAAATGTAAAAGTATTAATGATCCAAACATAAATTGTGCTTGTAATTATTATTATTATGTTTTTACAGAACTCATATGGTAGGCTCTGGAAGACTTTGAAAAGGTACTCAGTGTGGAAAAACCTCAGGGAGATTCCACGTCTTAGTCTTAAAAAAACATTTTTGCTGGTCAGTTCATGTGAAAGCAATATGTGTGGATAGGTCTTCACATGTCACGTTTTCCTTAATAGGCCCGTCATATCTCACTCTGCAAACCAACCATATGAGAAGGAGGAGTGTGGCAGAAAGCTATATGAATGTAAAGAGAAGAGAAAATCCTCCATTTCTCTCACAAGTGTTCAATGCCAGGTGTCAGAGCACACTGTAAATGGACCTAATGGAGGTCTGACATGTGGAAGAGAGTTCAGTTGTTCCAGGTGTTTTAAAAAATATCAACCATCTCATACTGGAGAGCAGCCACCTGGATGTAAGCAATGTGGAGGCACCATTACTATTTCAAATAACCTTCAAATGCATGAACAAACTCCTCCTGGAGAGACGACTTACAGATGTAAACAGTGTGGGAAAGCCTTCATTCATTCATATTCTCTTCAAAAACATAAACGAACTCATACAAGTAAGAAGCGCCATGAATGTAAAGAATGTGGTAAAGCCTTCATTAAATTCTCTTACCTTCGAATACATAAACGAACTCATACTGGAGAGAAGCCCTATGAATGTAAACAGTGTGGTAAAGCCTTTCCTTCATCCAGTAAACTTCGTAAGCATGAAAGAATTCACACTGGGGAAAAGTGCTATGAATGTAAAGAATGTGGTAAAGTCTGCACATGTTACTCTGAACTTCAAATACATGAACGAACTCACACAGGAGAAAAGCCGTATGAATGTAAGCAGTGTGGCAAGGCTTATGCTCGGATTTCTCACCTTCACTCACATGAAAAAACTCATACTGGAGAGAAGCCCTATGAATGTAAACAGTGTGGGAAAGCCTTCGCTACATCTGGTAACCTTCAAATACATGGAAGAACTCATACTGGAGAGAAGCCTTATGAATGTAAACAATGTGGGAAAGCCTTTATTTCTTCCACTGCCCTTCAAATACATGAACGAATTCATACAGGAGAGAAGCCCTATGAATGTAAGCAGTGTGGCAAAGCCTTCATTCGATCCTCTGCCCTTCGCTCACATGAAAGAACTCATACTGGAGAGAAGCCCTATGAATGTCAACAATGTGGTAAAGCCTTCACTCGGTTATCTTATCTTCATGCACATGAACGAACTCATACTGGAGAAAAGCCCTATGAATGTAAGCAGTGTGGCAAAACCTTCACTCATTTCTCTACCTTTTACTCACATGAAAGAGCTCATAATGGAGAGAAGCCCTATGAATGTGAGCAGTGTGGCAAAGCCTTCATTCATTCCTCTAGCCTTCATTCACATGAACGAACTCATACGAAGCCCTATGAATGTCAACAATGTGGTAAAGCCTTCACTCGGTTACCTTACCTTCACTCACATGAACGAATTCATACTGGAGAGAAGCCCTATGAATGTAAGCAATGTGGCAGAGCCTTCAGACATTCCTCTAGCTTTCGCTTACACGAAAGAGCTCATAATGGAGAGAAGGCTTATGAATGTAAGCGGTGTGGCAAAGGCTTCATTTATTCCTCTAGCCTTCGCTCACATGAAAGGATTCATAATGGAGAGAAGCCCTATGAATGTAAGCAGTGTGGCAAAGCCTTCAATTATTCCTCTAGCCTTCGCTCACATGAACGAATTCATACTGGAGAGAGGCCCTATGAATGTCAACAGTGTGGTAAAGCCTTTACTCGGTCATCTTACCTTCACTCACATGAACGAACTCATGCTGGAGAGAAGCCCTATGAATGAAACAATGTGGTAAAGTCTTCACTTGTTCCTCTGAACTTCAGGTTCATGAACAAACACATATTGCAGAGAAGCCCTATGAATATAAGCAATGTGGCAAAGCCTTCAATTATTCCTCTAGCCTTCACTCACATGAACGAACTCATATTGGAGAGAAACCCTATGAATGTCAACAATGTGGCAAAGCCTTCACTCATTCCTCTACTCTTTGCTCACATGAACAAACTCATAATGGAGAGAAGCCCTGTAAATGCAAAGAATGTGGAAAAGCCTTCACTGTATTAGCTTACCTTCGAAAATATAAAACAAATTCATACTAGGGAGAAGCCCTATGAATGTAAGCAGTGTGGCAAAGCCTTCAATCAGTCCTCTAGTCTTCACTCACATGAAAGAACTCATACTGGGGAGAAGCCCTATGAATGCAAAAAATGTGGAAAAGCCTTCACTGCCTTCTCTTACCTTCAAACACATAATCAAACTAATACTGAGTAGAAACCTTGTGGATGTACAAGATGTTTTAAAGCCTTCACTAGTTTGTTTAACCTTTGAATACACACATAAATTCATACTGGAGAGATGCCCTATGAATGCAAAGAATGTGGGAAAACCTTCATTGTATTCTCTTTCTTTCAAATACATAAAGGAATTCATACTGGAAAGAAGCCCTATAAATGTAAGCAGTGTGGCAAAACCTTCACACAGTCCTCTAGCCTTTACTCACATGAACAAACCCATATGGGAGGGAAGCCCTATGACTAAGCAGTGAGTCAAAGCCATCACTCAGTCCATTCTATTCCACACACATGAAGGAATTCATGGTAGAGAGAAGCCCTATAAATGTAAACAATGTTGAAAAGTCTTCACTACGTTGTCTAGCCTTAAAAGGCTTAATCAGAATCATTCTGGAGAAAATTATTAGTGTGAACACTGTGGGAAAGCTTTTCCTTGATTACTTTTGCTCACATGAACAAAATCACATAGGAAAGAAGCCTTACGAATGTAAACAATGTGGAAAGCCTTTGCTTCAACTGGTGAACTTCACTCCCAAGAAAATACTCATACTGGAAAGAATGTTACCTGGGTATGTAAACATTGAGGTAAAACGTTTAGTCCTTCCACTTGTCTTCATGTGCATGAACAGGCTCATGCTGGAGAGCAGCTCTATGAATGTAAACAATGTGTAAAACCTTCATGGTGGGGTTGCAGCTCAGTGGTAGAGCCTTTGCTTAGCATGTGTGAGGCACTGGGTTTGATTCTCAGCACCACATATAGAAAAATAAATAAAACAAAGGTTCATCAATATCCAAAAAATTGAAAAAAAAAAACATCATTTTTTTTTTTTTCTTTTTCTCTTTTCCTACAAATGCATGAACAATCTCAGTGGAGAAAGGCCCTGTGAGATTAAATGGTCTGGTAAAGCCTTCAGTAGTTTGGCTTACCTTCAAATACTTTAAAAATGTAAATAGTCTGGTGAAAATTTGACTAGTTATGCTTATTTTCATATACATGAAGGAACTTATACTGGAGAGAGGCCTCTTGAAAGTAAATAATGTGGTACAACCTTTGCTTATTCCAATTCAATTTGAAAACTCATACCAAAAAAGACTGTATGAAAACAATGTGAAAAAGCTTTCAGGACTTCCATTCTCCTTCAATCGCATAGCACACTCATATCACAGAGAAAAAATTTGATTGTGTATTGTGTAATTTTTTTTTCTTTTTAGTTGTAGTTGGACAGAATATTTTACTTATTTATTTTTATGTGGTGCTGAGGATCTAATCTAGTGTCTCACTGGTGGTAGGCAAACGCTCTACCCCTGAGCCACAATCCCTAACCTGTCTTATTATTAGCTTCAAATCACAAACAAATTCATACCAGATAGAAGCCTTATGAATGTCAACAATGTGCAAAAGCTTTCAATTGATCTTCCTACCTTCAAATACAAGAACAAACATACTGGTGAGAAGTTCTTTGTGCATAAACAATGTAGTAAGTCATTTGTTGCAGTGACATTTAAAAACATAAAATAACTTCTTCTACTGAAACAAAGCTATATTAATATAAACAATCAGAACAAAGCTATATTAATGTAAACACTTTCCTTTGGTGCAGTTCCCCTAATAAGCATTAAAAAAATGATAATTAGAAATGCTATTTCAGGGACTCGGGCTATAGCTCAGTGGTAAAGCGCTTGCCTTGCATGTGTGAGGCACTGGGTTCAATCCTCAGCACCACATAAAAAGATAAAAAGATACTATGTTTTCATCTACAACTCAGTAAATATAAAAGAAAAAGAAATGCTATTTCAATGCAAAAGTTCTGAGAAATAATTCAGTTTTCCTGTTCATTTTCAAATATGAAAGGATTCACACTACAAAAACTCTGAACATTAAAGAAGTGATAAATCATTTTTCCCTGTTGCTTTCAAAGCCATTTCACTGACAGTGGAAGAGAAACCCTCTAAATGTGTGATATTTACTTCTTATACATGAAAGGTAATGGAAAAAAGTAATGTGTGAAAGAGTCGAATTTTTACAGTTCCTTTGAAGAAGAGAAAAAAAAAAAAATTGTACAGGTTGAGGAACTCTGAACCAGAAATCTGATAGAGCCTTTACAAGTTTCAGTTTGATTTATGCATCACATTTCCATTGTACTGACAGAAATATTGGAAAATTCGACCTATGGGAGGGAAGACTTATTTTGGCTCATGGTCATATAACTTTTTCAGTGTATCACAGACTGACCACCTTGCTTTAGGCCTGAGGTGAAGCAAAACATAATATGGAGTGATGTAGGGAAAGAGAGACTATTTACCTCATGGTGGCTTGGAAGGAGGGAGAGAGAGGGAGACAGAGAATGAGTTAAGTACATCATTGCTTGCCTAACAAGTTTTGTTTTGCAGACTGTAGATGTGGCCTTTCTATTTTAGTGTTTCTGCTTCCCTTGATACTCTAGTGTGCACTTGTGATGTGGTTCACATCTTGATGCCTCATGGTCCAGGTCCAGGTACAAAAAGAAAAGGAAACCATGATGCTAGCTTCTAATAAAGCATGGGAGAGGCTACCTCAAGTATTCTGAGGGCAAAATCCCTAGTCAGTGTGTGGGCTGTTCTTAGCACACTAACAGCATTCCAAAAGTCATATAAGAAGGTTTGATGGTCTTAGGCAAAATCACTATGCATTTTGTACTAACCCTAATAAGAATGAATCACATTTCTTTAAGATTGAGGTGGTGACTTCCATTGTAGGTTATTGGGCAGCTAAAATCTTTCAGTACCACACAAAACATGAGCACTACTGGGGTCAGAGGAATATATTACCTGTGTAAAGTGCAAGTTTGCATGAGTACCCCAAATTTTTCAGAGGAAATTTAAGTAGAGAGCAGTTCTAGAAACCTACTAACAAATGACATTGGTCACCAAGACCCTTCAATGCTTCTTGCTATGCCAATATCCCAACAATTATGCTGATCTCCTGGTATCAAGGTACAGGATGGTTCTTTAGTTGGCCTTGAACCAGCTCAATTCTTCCCCACCCCTGTTGCTTGTAAGTGTCAAGAATAAAAGTGAAGTGTGGACATAGAAGAATAAAGAGCAATCCCGTGCACCACTGGCCAAACTTTTTGTGTCATGGAGAAGGTGAAGTGGCAGAAGGCAAAAGAGGCGACAGACATGGTGAACTCAGCAGTCTCTTTCTCCTTTTGTTAAAATATTTTTGTTGTTGTTGTTTTTGATGGACCATTTTTTTTCTTAAATTTGCTTATTTATATATGGCACTGGGAATCAAATACAATGCCTCATACGTACGAGCCAAGTGCTCTACCTCTGAGTACTTCTATGCCTGGACTCCACATGGGTATTTAAAATATTGCCTTCAATAAGATATTGATTCATTTTTTTTTATACAAACTTCTTCCCCAAAAGAAGTTTGTAGTGTAGCAGAAATAGAATAAGAAAGAGGTCAACAGTGTTAGTGTTAAACCATGATGCAAAGAAAAGACCACTGACTCCAATTTAAATCAAATTAAAGCAAGCTTGTAATTCTGACCAGCAGGGACTGTCCCTCTCCTGAAATATGTGGGAATAGAAGACAGTACTCCAACTATCTAGGAGCTCAGTTTTATAGCACAAAAAGTTGCAACAAGGGGGGTGTCTTGAGAACTTACAGGTAACAGGATTTTGAAATGCATAATACAAAGGCAAGTAGTAGGTTAAAGGTCTAAGTGGTTCAGCACTTAGGGAGTAAATATAAATCCCAACATCAGAATTTATGAGGCACTATTAGAGTTTCAGAGAGGATTGTTATCTTGTCAGGGAAAGCCAGAATTTATGAGGTACCACTGAGGTTTCAGAGAGGGTTGTTCTGGTCAGGGCAAGCCAGGCATGGGTGAGTTCAAGGTACAGGCAGGAATTCCAAAGAAGTTGATAAATCTCAGGAATTTATAGTAAAACAGAAATTAACTTTTCATGACTTTGTGACAAGATGGCTCCCAATCTTAAGATGGAATTAGGCTGGGTTCATCAGTTAGCAGAGCACACAGTCACCAGGGGTTTGAGAAGGGGGACTCTGGTGGAATAAGGAAAGTAGCAAATGATAAGCTATTACTTTTATTAATTTGGAAAGGGGAATTTGGAACTTTTTAGAAACTCCAACCAGAGACATACTCTTAACTCAGAGTTTTGTTCTGTATTGTCCTAGGGTTCAGGATCTCTTTATTAGGGGAGCAGTCCAGTTGAGAAGTGGATCCTTCAGAAATCTAGCATTACAGTGAAGGGTTTATCTTCCAATGCTCTGGTGATTTCTCAAAACAGGATTTTTTAAGTTGGAACCTACAATTTTGGTATAAATATGTATGAGGGTGCTCTCTTAGTCCCTATAGCCATCTCAGTCATAAATATATATGTATGTTAAAAGCAAGAAGATTTGTGTGTGGGGGAGTAGTCTTCTCACCTTTGTCAATAGTTTTTTAGAGACATGACATTTCATTTATTTAGTGTTTTATTAAAACAAAAAAAATGCACCTCATTGATTTGGAGGCATTTATTTTCTCTTTTATGTTCTCCAATTTATTCTACAGATTTAGAAACTTTTTTAGATTCAAACATCTCCAATCTTGTCACTATAATTATATTTGATCTTTAGAAGGAACAATTCCTTTATCTGGAAATGCACAGGTTCCACAGTGGAGATGTTTTAGAATTCTTGCATTCATATAGATGTATGTGTATGTATACATATATGCATATGTATATGTATTTGTATATGTTGAGATTTGTGTGTATATATATACATATATACATATATCAACCTGCTTTTGTTCACAGTCCAGTTTCTCTCAGTCCCAATCTGACTGACATTGAGCTCAAATTTACACTGGGCATAATCTGAACTTTAAAATATTCATGTAAATAAAGAACTCACAAAAAGATTTGTAGCTAAGATCTGAGAGGTACCTTTGGGACTTACCAGTATGTAATGATAAATCAGTGAGTTTAGGGACTCCCCATGTTTCCCAAACACTGGTTATTTGAAATAATAGCAATTCACAAATAGAGGAAATCTGCTATTGATTCAGGGGTCTAGCAAGGGCTTATACAAAGAACACTTAAAAAGAGTGTCCAGAAGAAAGGCAAATTAAGAGTATAATTGTATAGGGAGTCCTTGGTGGTTTATTGGGGTTTGGAATTAAGTTAACCTGGTTTGAAATTTGGTTTTCTAATATAGAATCAAGATCACAGTCCAGTAGACACAAAAGCTGGTAATCTCCACAGAATGTCATGTGATCTGCCTTCAGGGCCTCCCCTGGATATGGAAGTATCCTTTCCCATTACCATGCTGAAAGAATCCAGGGTTAACTTAAAACATGAGCTGACTTTGGAACCTAAAAGAGGGCCTCATGTCACTACGGAAGTGTAGGATTCCACAAGGATGGTGGGTGGGGAAGCAATGACAGAATGACAGACATGCCACATTTTCTTTTCTTTAGAAGGTTGAGTTCTGGGGGCTGCTCCTGTGGAAAATGGGGAGAGAGGCAGACCCTGTGGACATCTCAGGACACTGATTATGGGCAACTGAAATACT